GACATTAAGGAGAGCATGTGAGGTAATGAGCACTGGGTATTATATAAGACTGATGAATCACTGACTTCTACCTCTGAAACCAATAATACATTATATGTTAATTGAATTTAAATAAACATAAATAAAATTTTTAAAAAGAATGAAATCTTACCATTTGCAATGACATGGATGGAGTTAGAGACTATAATACTAAGTGAAATAACCCAGTCAGAGAAAGAAAAATACCATATGGTTTCATTCATACGTAGAATTTGAGAAACAAAACAAATGAGCATACGGGGGAAAATGAGAGAGAAAAGCAAACCACGAAACAGACTCTTTTTTTTTTTTAAGATTTTTTTTTTAGATTTTTATTTATTTATTTATTTGACAGACAGAGATCACAAGTAGGCAGAGAGGTAGGCAGAGAGAGAGGAAGGCAAGCAGGCTCCCTGCTGAGCAGAGAGCCCGATGCGGGGCTTGATCCCAGGACCCTGGCACCATGACCCAAGCCGAAGGCAGAGGCTTTAACTCACTGAGCCACCAAGGCACCCCATGAAACAGACTCTTAACTCTAGAGAACAAACTGATGGTCCCCAGAGGGAAGGGTGTTGGGTGGTTGGGTTAAATGGGTGATGGAGATTAAGGAGGGCACTTGTTACGATGAGCACTGGGTAATGTATAGAATTGTTAAATCACTAGATTGTATACCTGAAACTAATATAACACTGTGTGTTAACTACATTGGAATTAAAATAAAAATTTAATTTAAAAAAAAGAATGTGAGGGCGTGCCTGGGTGGCTCAGTTGGTTAAGCATCTGACTCTTGCCTTTGGCTCAGGTCATGATCTTGGGGTCATGAGGTGGAGCCCCTCACTGGGCTCTGCACTCAGCGGGGAGTCTGCTTGAGATTCCCTCTCTCTCTCTCTTTCTCTCTGTGCCCCTTCCTCCCCTCGAACACTCTCTCACTCTCTAAAATAATTAAATAAATAATTCTTTAAGGAAAAAAAAAAAAGAATCTGTGGCTCCATCTTACTCTATCTTTGAGCAAAGAAACCTCTTGGCTGTTACCTTTAAAAAGTCCAAAGCCCTTAGCAATTGTGAAGTGTTGTTGGTTAAATAGGAGCTTAGATCCACAGAGTAAAAGCATAGAGGCAAATGGACCTGAGTTCAAATCCTGGCCTTGCTTAGTATCTCAGTGCCTCAGGGATTTTTCTCACTGACGCAGAGTTGACACACACAATGTTATATTAGTTTCAGTGTGCCTCGGTTTTCTTAGTGCCAAATAGTGATGATAATAGTAGTTTCATTGCAGAGTTCTTAATGCTGATTAGAGTAAGTAATATAAGATTATATTGGTCACCCAATGAAGTGAAATTTGTTGATGACGGATAGGCCTGTATGAAGATGTGTTTCAGCAGCATGTAAAGGTATGATCCCGAAATGTTAACTAAATCTATTCCTGTTATGTCAAGCACTATAAGGATAAACAAGTTGTTATTTCCTACCCTGGGGGAGGTCATAGTGTACTGAATTCCACTGACCCAGGACCAGCTAGAGCAGAGAGGTTCGACACTTGCCTGAGGCTCCCATAGGACGCAAATGGGACAAAAATATAGGTCTAGTAATTCCCAGACACTGCTCTTTCCAACAGCTCCCATTTCACATGAAAGGGAAAGGGCATTTCTTTAGCTTTCATGCCCCCTCTATGGAGAGTAAGCAAAATAATGAATAATATGATGTCAGATGGTATCTTAGTCCATTCAGGCAGCTCTTATAAAAAAGACGTTCATCTCTCCTGCTTCTGGAGGCTGAGAAGTCCAAGATCAAGATACCAACAGACTGAGTATCTAACCAGGACCCACTTTCTGGTTCATAGGCAGCTGTCTTTTCCCTGTGTCCTCAGTAGAAGGAATGAAGGATCTCTCCAGGATCTCTTTTTCTAAGGGCACGAATGCCATTGATGAGGGCTCTATGCTCATGACCCAAACACCTCCCAAAGACCCCATTTCCTAACGCCAAACTGGGGCTTAAGATTTCATCATATAAATATTGGGAGGACCAAATATTCAGTCCCTAGCAGATGGCAAATGGAGTGTGTTTCCTAATAAAAGATGCACGGAGGCTTAATGCAAAAAAAAAAAAAAAAAAGTATGTGAGTTTTATTTAACAATGTTACCTCATGAGTCACCCAGAGCAGAAAACCTGGACCAGTGAAGACCAAGGAACTGTTTCTCAACTATAGAGAGAAATATAGAGAAGCAAACAGGCTTCCATTTTTCACCCCCTACATTTCCATGACTCCTCTTTCAAAAAATAAGTAAATAAAAAAAAAAAAGCTTCCTGTTGCAAAAGCTCTTCCCATACCTGGACAGGGAAAAATTTATGTGAGAAAGGAACAAAATCATTTATTAACAGTCTACCTCCCACTTCAACCTGCCACCACCCTGAAGACTAGATCCTGATAGCCAGAAGGTTCTCTGTTGAATGGGTAGGGTAGGGGTGCTGCGAGAGGGGTTGGGTGCCGTAGATACTGTGCATGAGAAAGGAAGAGTTATTCCCATGGCAGGCAGCTGTGCAGTGTTCCTGGAGCAGCTTGTACATAGCCTGCAGGAGCCAGGGTGGGCAAAAGTGACCCTGTCCTTCAGATATTGTGAATCAGCACTCTGATCACTGAATGCTACTTTTAATCTCAGAGGTGCAGACAAAATGGTGGGTGGCCATTGTTTTTGTGCCTCCCTCCACTGTTGCAAGCCTCTCCCCTCCAGCTGAAGTAACTTCCAGGGGATTTAAAGGGTTGGCACCCTTCTCTCTCCCCTTTTACATTTCTCTTTTTCCAATTCTTGGAGCCAGACATCAAAGACTAAGATATTCAAAAGGAACTATGTATAAGGGGGAAAAAATCAGAGAGTCATTGCACATACCCAGGATGAGAAAACACCTGAGAATATCCTAAATTCACAGCTCAGGCTGGTCCTCAGCAGAGGCAGCCAACAACAAACAAAAATTTAGCAAAAACAAAAACAGTAAACCCTGGAGAGGAGGAGGAATCTGATTTTTAGAGTTACCACCTTACCAGATTCGAGAAAGAAAAAGAAAAGAAAAAAAGAAAAGGGGCGCCTGGGTGGCTCAGTGGGTTAAGCCTCCGCCTTCGGCTCAGGTCATGATCTCAGGGTCCTGGGATTGAGCCCCACATAGGGCTCTCTGCTCAGTGGGGAGCCTGATTCTCTCTCTCTCTCTCTCTCTCTGCCTACTTGCGATCTCTGTCAAACAAATAAATAAAATCTTAAAAAAAAAAAAGAAAAGAAACAAAAGAAGGAAGGAAGAGTTATTGAGAAGAGCCTTGAGAAAAGTTCTCAACCTAAAATCCTCTTAACAAATGCATACTGAGTGTCTACTTGTCTTTGGCATTGACTAGCTGGGTTCACACACGGTCCTCACTGTAAGTCACAACGTGCCATGAGTCACAAGCTAGGCGTCATTGTTGTGTATCATTTTTTTAAAGACTTTTATTTATTTGACAGAGAGAGAGATCACAAGTAGGCAGAGAGGCAGGCAGAGAGAGAGAGGGGGAAGCAGGCTGAGCAGAGAGCCCGATGCAGGACTCTGAGGACACTGAGATCATGACCTGAGCTGAAGGCAGAGGCTTAACCCACTGAGCCACCCAGGCACCCCATTGTGTAACATTTTTTAACTGAGGAAACAGGTTCAGAGGTAAAATGATTTCCTGAAGGTGAGATGATGATCTGTAAACACAATGGTGGGAATTTAGCTTATACAAAATTTATGTTTTTAGGGTTGAGCACAGAGCTTGGCAGGAGTGGGGAAGGAGACTGAAATATTTGCTAAGGCACAGGGAGGGAATGGGAGGAGTTCCAGAGAATACAATGAAGGTAGGAATTCCAGGGCATTGGGGGAACTCCTCAGAGCAGGAACAGGAGCTGGGAAAGCAAAGGAAGAGAGGAGCCTTCTGGAGGAAGACCAGGGCTGGGGCTCCATCAGGATTTTATCAGAGACCAAATCTGGATGAGAGCTGCGTGACTAGAATCAGAGGACATCAGCTTTCATCCTAGTCGTGCTGAGTGCTTGCAGTCCAACCCAAGCTGGGGATGTATCTGAATCCCCTCCAGTTCTGCTATTGTCTGATCTGCAAAATGGGCTCATTTGCTTCACTGCAATGATGAGTTACTGGTCTTGCAGGTGGTTTGAGAGATGTATGGGCCTCGGGAACATGGCCTGTAGTGAAGCCTCCAGATGGTTTCTCAACCACCATCTCCACTCTGCCTGATGCCCCACCCTCCTTAGGGGAGACCATCTACATCTCAAGCTTCATTCACTCGGAGTCCAATTATTCCAGAATGGTATCTGACCGGAAGTATACAACACTGTATTATAATCATATTTGAATTTAAAAAAAAAAGAATTGTACTTGACCACATTTATTTCCTTCCCTACATAAGAGAGATGCCAGGTAGGAAGCAGACCTCTCACCCACACTGCAGACCTAATCACCACCTAACCCTTGTCCTAGTCCTGGTGGTGCAAAGTCATTGTCTCCTTTTGACTGGGTTTTCTTATCCTTAAATGAGAGGGTTGGGACCAATGATCTCAAAGGTCCCTTCAGGCTCCAAAGCTATGTGGTGGTTGGAACACCCCTCCTGAGACTGTCCTGCCAGCCCAGTTTCCAGCTCTTTCCACCGCCCAATTAGTAGCATTTATCCAACTTTTTTTGTCAGGTATGCGCTTCTATTCCAGGCATTCTGAGCCAAGTCTGCAAATCAGACTTCTTGGAAGACTCAAATGTTTTAACAATCTTCAAACACATGACATCAAACGTGCCATTTTCCCTTCATCTACCAACTTTGTACTTTTATCCAAAAAAAAGAAGAAAAAGAAAGAAAGAAAGAAAGAAAGAAAAGAGATACTGAGTCCATCTGGCATTATTTGCTTTGAATAAAAGCCCATCTGCTTATTATTTCTAATTTCATTGTCCTCTACAATGTTTACAGAAGTTTCTTTCAATATTTATTGCACCGTGTTTCTAATTACTGATCCAGACCATCTACACAGACTTGGTGGGGTGCCGGGCTGGGAGGTAGGTGTCTCTCCATTTTCATCTGCACGCTGCTTTACTCTGGGGGCACCATGTGGCCCTCGGCCGTCATCACGCCACCCTGGTGCAAGGCTGCGGAGGCAGATTCTGACAATCAGCCCCTTTATCATCACTCTCCCTGGGGGCTTGCGAAGCCGCCTCTGATGAATTTTTGCCTGCCTCAACACCATTATTGTCACAGGAAGGATGGAGATAATTACCTGGTTTATTATCCTGAGGCTGGCTTCATCTGGGGGCCGGTGATCACTGGGAACAGAAGGCTCATCTCTGTCTTCGGGAGTCCTAAATAGATGGGTAAAAGATTCACATTCCCCCTCTGGTGGTGTCTCTGAAAGGCAAGGGATGATCTCTTCAATGCAAATACTTCCAACTAGACCCTTTTTAAATTACCTCCACCCCAAAATACCCCCCCAATCCAAAATGTTGTTTTATTTTAAGATTGATTATTTATTTATTTATTTATTTATTTGACAGAGAGAGAGAGATCACAAGTAGGCAGAGAGTCAAGCAGAGAGAGAGGAAGGGAAGCAGGCTCCCCACTGAGCAGAGAGCCTGATGCGGGGCTCGATCCCAGGACCCAGAGATCATGACCTGAGCTGAAGGCAGCGGCTTAACCCACTGAGCCACCCAGTCACCCCCAAAATGCTGTTTTAAATTAAGCTCTTTTCCACCCCAAATAAGTTCCCATTTCTGATCTCCCCAGTTCTCTAATGATGCTTTATTCTTCCCATCTCATGATGCCATTACCCACCACGACCAACTAAATCCCATTACTCCCTCTCTGTGGCGTCTTTCCCATCTGTTCTACTCCATCGACCAGTTTCCAACCAATATCCCACTGTCTCCATTCCTGCAGGACCTCCTTCCTGTCTCCTAATCTCTCCCCGACCCCACCCACCATGTACCTGAATCTGGAATAATCCACATAAAAATCCATCAAAATCCACACATGGATTTCATCACTCTCCAACTCAGCAATACTGTGTGAGTACCCTTTGCCTTCAGGAGGACGTGTCCATACCCGCTGACTGGTAGGACCTTCACCATCAGGCCTCACAGCCCCCCACAGCTGGGCATGCCCCGAATCCTTCTCCCAGCCACATAGATGTGCTCCGGCCGCCACAGTCTCAGCTCTTGCTCACACTGACTTCCCAGGCATATGGAAAAGTCAAGAAAGAAAAAAAAGCAGTATTTGAGGAGCACCTGGGTGGCTCAGTCGGTTAAGTGTCTGCCTTCAGCTCAGGTCATGATTCCCAGGGTCCTGGGATCGAGTCCAGCATCCAGCTCTCTGCTCTGCAGGGAGTCTGCTTCTCCCTCTCCCTAACTCATTCTTTCTCTCAAATAAATAAATAAAATCTTAAAAAAAAAAAAAATACAGTATTTGAGGTGATTCTTAGTGCAGACATTAAGACTTAAAAGTGAATTCTACCCTATTTTTGTATGTGTTATATCATGATGCTTCTGATTCTGATACTCACCCAGATCCCAGAAAATTGTTTCCACTGTGTTGTCCACTAAATAGGCCATAGCTCTCCCACAATGATTCACAAGGAAGTTCTAGCCAAAAAAAAAAAAAAAAAAAGGAAAGAAAAGAGAAGGCAGGATACAGAAAAGACAGTGAGTATGGGTTAAAAAGCAGGGATTTTGAATCAAGTAGAACTGGATTCAAACCCCAGTTCAGAAACTTACTAATGCGTGGCATTAGTGGAGAAAATCACTTACCCTTCCTGAGACTGCCTCCTTATCAGCAAATAGGGCTAATACTGCCTTGCAGGGTTGGTGTGGGAGCTAAAGTCAGCACACATGGAGTTTATTTGTTAACCCAAATGAGAGCTGGTAAGAATCTGAACTAAGACCTATGTGTAGGATTGAAAGGAGTGAAGACATTTCAGAACTATTTAGGAAGTGAGATCATCAGGATATGGGACTGGTTAGGAAGAGAAGGGAGAGAGGCCACGATGAATGCATCCCAGATTTCTGTCATGGATGAAAAGTCAAGATTTAATTTGTAAGTTAGAAATTCTAAGAGTTTTGGGGCACCTGGCTGGCTCAGTCAGTGGAGCATAAGACTCTTGATCTCAGGGTTGTAATTTCAAGCCCCACATTGGATGTAGAGATTACTCAAAAATAAAATCTTTAAAAAAGAGTATTTAGATTTATATGATACTTTTTCTGTGCAACATTACAGATATTTGCAATTTTCAGACAATGCTAAATTGAGGTTTCATCATACCAAATGGATAACAAAGAAAAAACTTAATTTCTAGACCCGGAAGCCTCAGATGGACAAGTTTTTCAGGTAGCAATAGATCTTGTATTCAGCTGAAGCAGTTCCTACTGAAGTTCAATCCCCTGGAAATGACAACCTCTATACAGAAGACCAGATGGCAGCGGTGAGGGACCCATCTGGGAGCAAAGACTGTCATACTAGTATGGGACAAATGCCTGGGGTCCCAGTGGTGGGACTGTGATCAGAACAACACCACAACACCGGAGAAAGTGGGCAGGCGCGCTATTGCTAACAAGTCCCAAAACCAGAGTGACAAAGGATTACACCTTGGGACTGACCCTATTTGAAACTCTTCATTAAAATTTCAATCACAAAATAGCTTAACATGAATTCATTTCCCATCTTGGTCATTCTGGATCATTCACGTTTTTGGTTTTTTGGTCAGGCTCTACTCACTAGAACCAGAAAAGTCTACATGAGAAAATGGAAGATAAGGGGTTGGAAATGTGTTTTAGAGGGAAGGCAAATGTCAGGCTTAGGGATGTGGTCTGCATTTTTAAGAAACAGGGAGTCTCTGAAGATTTTAGGGCAGAGCCATGATGAGATGAAAGCAAATTTTTAAGAAGAACAGTCTGGCAGAGCTGGACAAAGTGAACCCACTTGAAATCCACTCAAATACTGAATTATTGTTGTCATTCTAATTAGACCTTACACTTTCCCCCATTAATTGCATCTTTAAACTCTGGTTCCTCTAAACACCCTGACAATAGTCTTTCCCGAGGGCTTCTCTCTGTTTCAGCGATTTTCAACCAGAGGGGAGGTACAGGATTTGGAAGTCAGTTGGCTTTTCTTATTGAGGTAGTTGCTATATTCACAAGTTGGGGCAGAGAGTGAGGTAGGTACACGGGGGTTTATTTCCACAGAGGTCAGTGATGCCAAGTGTCCTCAAAACACTAAAAAAACAGGTGTAAAAATTCATCCTGCCCAAAATGGTTGCAGTGCCCTGGGTGGGAGGCATGATATCTGATCTCTTTTGCTTCCCCAATCTTTGTCTTCCATAAATTTTCTCCTTCTGTCTATCATCAGGCATCCCGCCAGTCGCCTGATTAGCAGGTTAAATGGTCACTCAACTGTCATTGAACTCCTCCCCTGATTCAGGAGCAACTGGAGGAAAGCCAACATCCATTATTGACCTAGTTGCACAGCACTTAAGATTTCCACAGTGCTTCGCAATGGTTTCTATTAGCTAATTCTCATGTCAACACATGCATTGAGTTAGTTTTGTTATTTGTGGTTTGTTAGTGGAGAGGCTCAAGTACGGAAGATTTGGAAACCTGTTCATGTCTCTTACATTTAATTCGTAGAACCAAATTGTGGGAAGCTCTTTTCAAAGTCACAATAATTCTCTCATACCTCTAGGACATTCACTTAGTAGGGTGCCACTGGTGACAAAATTTTAATATAAATGTCCCTTTCTTTTTGGCATTGAAATACTTTGAAGGCCTAGTGATGAAAAGTGAATCACCCTCTCCACTGGTTTTCATTATACTGAATATATATTCAAGGTTTTTTTTTTTAATCTCTGAATGTTTTATTGCCATCTCTATGGACCTCTCTTTTGATGTCTGTTACATTTCATTTTGTATTACCAGTCCCTTGGCCCCTTTGGGGCCCCTTTGTTGTATCTTCCTAACAGATGGAAAGTGTTTTGAGGGCAAACTGTCTTTTTCTTTGTATTTCTCCAAACACTATAATAGTGCCTCGCCTGCAATAATGACTTATTAAATATTTGCTGATGGATTGGTGCTCAAATTGTTGGCCAATTCCACAACATGAAAGGTTTTACTTCCTGGGAATCTACTCTGAAAAAAAAAAAAAAAAAGAAAAGAAAAGAAAAGAAAAGAAATCCTCAGAAAACATTTTGTAGACTTCTGCCCCTATGATGTCCCTATTGTGACTAGTTACATTTCATCAACACCATCTCTAAGCTCTGGATATTTCTCTCCTGACAAAGAAGTCTCTGACGCCACAACTGCCAATCCCATCATCTTTTTTCCACCCAGAAATCTACTGTGCCAAACATGGCTAATAACTTACCCGATGGGGGTAGGGTAGATAGATGGTCACAATGGGCAAAATGGTCACAATCTTCCACTTGTCACTGTGTCCTTGACCTTTGCAATGTAACTGGGCCTCTACTCCTATCAAGACATAAGGTCTATTTTCCCATTCCTTTGAATCAAGAATAAAAAGAAAATCCCTTAGGTTGATAAAGGAGAAAGGAGATCTGCCCAAAAACCCAGAGGAAACCTCAACATAATCAATGCATTTTTTTTTCTAATTTTTTGAGTATAGTTGACACACAATATTGCGTTGTTTCAGGTGTACCACATAATGGTTCGACTTCTCCATACATGATGCTGTGTTTACCGCAAGTATGGTAACCAGCACAGGTGCAGCTCTTTCACCATACTATGGTATTACAATATCATAATCAGTGCATTTTAAATGTATTCCTTTTAATACCAGAATAAGACGAAGGTACTCACTACTGCTGTGGCTGTTCAGGGTTCTTGATGCCTTGGCGGATGAAATGAGACATTTTAAGGGCCCATTTAGCCAGAGCGGCTCCATCTCGGTTGAACAGCCATTTTGTTGTTTATGCAGTAAAACTTAAACTGACCCTGCCCCCCCAGGGGACTTACTTAAAAGCAAGTCCGGAAAGCTAGTAAAATATGGTCGACCAGTCCCAGATAACAGAGCCCAAATACAAGGGCGGGTCAGGCCAGGTGGAGACATCCAATCACTATCTCCCTGAAAGAATGTGGGCCCCGTCTTTTGGGTGCCTTTTGGGTGCCAATTCTGACCAAGGTGATAGGCTAGTTCAAATATCTACTATAGAGTAAACTGTAATTCAATTGGCCACCTATGCATGACCTAGCATGACTATGCAGCTTTCTCTGTGTGTTACAATCTCATTGGCCACCTGTGTGCAGCCAGGCTCAACCACATGGCCTTTGCTCTATATAAGTTAGTCTGTGAGGCTGGGAGGGGTCGATCTCTCTTTAAGAATCTGTTTGATTCTCCATGCTTGGCAC